CATTTATTGTAAAGCTGGTTTGTTGGTGCTGAACTCTCTCAGCTTTTTCTTGTCTGTAAAACTTTTAATTTCTCCATCAAATCTGAATGAGATCCTTGCTGGGTAATCTTGGTTGTAGGTTTTTCTCCTTCATCACTTTAAATATGCCCTGTCACTCCCTCCTGGCTTGCAGAGTTTCTGCAAAAGATCAGCTGTTAACCTTATGGGGATTCCCTTGTGTGTTATTTGTTGTTTTTCCCTTGCTGCTTTTAATATATATTCTTTGTAGTTAATTTTTGATAGTTTGATTAATGTGTGTCTTGGTGTGTTTCTCCTTGGATTTATCCTGTGTGGGACTCTCTGTGCTTCCTGGACTTCATTAACTATTTCCTTTCCCATATTAGGGAAGTTTTCAACTATAATCTCTTCAAATATTTTCTCAGTCCCTTTATTTTTTCTCTTCTTCTTCTGGGAACCCTATGATTCGAATGTTGGTGCGTTTAATGTTGTCTCAGAGGTCTCTGAGACTGTCCTCAGTTCTTTCATTCTTTTTTCTTTATTCTGCTCAGAAGTAGGTATTTCCAGTATTTTATCTTCCAGGTCACTTATCCGTTCTTCTGCCTAAGTTAATCTGCTATTGATCCCTTCTAGAGTATTTTAAATTTCATTTATTGTGTTGTTCATTGTTGCTGCTTTCCTCTTTAGTTCTTCTAGATCCTTGTTAAATGTTTCTTGCATTTTCTCTGTTCTATTTCCAAGATTTTGGATCATCTTTACTATGATTATTCTGAATTCTTTTTCAGGTAGACTGCCTATTTCCTCTTTATTTGTTAGGTCTGGTGGGTTTTATCTTGCTCCTTCATCTGCTGTGTGATTTTCTGTCTTCTCATTTTGCTTATCTTACTGGGTTTGGGGTTTCCTTTTTGCAGGCTGCACGTTCGTAGTTCCCATTGTTTTTGACGTCTGTCCCCAGTAGCTAAGGTTGGTTCAGTGGGTTGTGTAGGCTTCCTGGTGTAGGGGACTAGTGCCTGTGTTCTGGTGGATGAGGCTGGACCTCGTCTTTCTGGTGGGCAGGTCCACGTCTGGGGGTGTGTTTTGGGGTGTCTGTGGCCTTATTATGATTTTAGACAGCCTCTCTGCTAATGGGTGCGGTTGTGTTCCTGTCTTGCTAGTTGTTTGGCATAGGGTGTCCAGCACTGTTGCTTGCTGGTCGTTGAGTGAAACTGGGTCTTGTTGTTGAGATGGAGAGCTCTGGGAGATTTTCACTGTTTGATACTTCATGGAGCTGGGAGGTCTCTTGTTGGCCAGTGTCCTGAAGTTGGCTCTCCCACCTCAGAGGCACAATGCTGATTCCTGGCTGGGGCACCAAGAGCCTTTCATCCACATGGCTCAGAATAAAAGGGAGAAAAACTGTGCTTCCCTGGTGGTGCAGTAGTTGAGAGTCTGCCTGCCAATGCAGGGGACATGGGTTCATGCCCCTGTCCGGGAAGACCCCACATGCCACAGAGCAGCTGGGTCTGTGAGCCATGGCTGCTGAGCCTGCAGGTCCGGAGCCTGTGCTCCACAACGGGAGAGGCCAAAACAATGAGAGGCACGTGTACTGCAAAAAAAATAAAAAATAAATGAAAGGAGAAAAAGAATAAAGAAAGAGAAAAAGAAAGAGGATAAAATAAAGTAAGATAAAATAAAATAATTAAAATAAAAAATAATTATTAAGAAAAAAAAATTTTTAAGTGAAAAAAAAAACAGACGGACAGAAACGTAGGACAAATGGTGAAAGTAAAGCTTTACAGACAAAATCTCACACAGAAGCATACACATACACACTCACAAAAAGAGTAAAAGGAGAAAAAATAATATATCTTGCTCTCAACATCCACCTCAATTTGGGATGATTCATTGTCTATTCAGGTATTCCACAGATGCAGGGTACATCAAGTTGTTTTTGGAGATTTAATCCTCTGCTCCTGAGGCTGCTGGGAGAGATTTCCCTTTCTCTTCTTTGTTCGCACAGCTTCCGGGGTTCAGCTTTGGATTTGGCCCCGCCTCTGTGTGTAGGTCGCCTGAGGGCGTCTGTTCTTCGCTCTGACAGGACGGGGTAAAGGAGCAGCTGATTCGGGGGCTCTGGCTCACTCAGGCCGGGAGTAGGGAGGGGTATGGACGTAGGTTGAGCCTGCCGCGGCAGAGGCCAGCGTGATTTTGCACGAGCCTGAGGCGCACTGTGCGTTCTCCCAGGGAAGTTGTCCCTGGATCACGGGATCCTGGCAGTGGCAGGCCACACAGGCTCCCGGGAGGGGAGGTGTGGATAGTGACCTGTGCTTGCTCACAAGGCTTCTTGGTGGCGGCAGCAGCAGCCTTAGCGTCCCATGCCCGTCTCTGGGGTCCGCGCTCTTAGCCGCGGTTCACGCCCGTTTCTGGAGCTCCTTTAAGCAGCACTATTAATCCCCTCTCTTCGTGCACCAGGAAACAAAGAGGCAAGAAAAAGTCTCTTGCCTCTTTGGCAGGTCCAGACTTTTTCCCGGACTCCCTCCCGGCTAGCAGTGGTGCACTATCCCCTTCAGGCTGTGTTCACGCCGCCAACTCCAGTCCTCTCCCTGGGATCCAACCGAAGCCAGAGACTCAGCTCCCAGCCCCCGCCTGTCCCGGTGGATGAGCAGACAAGCCTCTCAGGCTGGTGAGTGCTGGTAGGCACCAGCCCTCTGTGCGGGAATCTCTCTGCTTTGTCCTGGGCAGCCCTATTGCTGCGTTCCCCTCTGCGGCTCCGAAGCTTCCCCCCTCCGCCACCCTCAGTCTCCGCCCGTGAAGGGGCTTCCTAGTTTGTGGAAACTTTTCCTTCTTTGCAGCTCCCTCCTACTGGTGCAGGTCCCATCCCTATTCTTTTGTCTCTGTTTTTTCTTTTTTCTTTTGCCCTACCCAGGTAAGTGGGGAGTTTCTTGCCTTTTGGGAGGTCTGAGGTCTTCTGCCAGCGTTCAGTGGGTGTTCTATAGGAGCAGTTCCATGTGTAGATGTATTTCTGATGTATCTGTGGGGAGGAAGGTGATCTCTGCGTCTTACTCTTCTGCCATCTTCCTCAACTCCAGTAACTGGTTGTTGACTGAGCAAATGAATGGAAGCTTCCATTACAAAACATAAGTTCCAGAATTGTCCCTGATGCATGGTGAGCAAATGACAAGCACAGGGCACCTTGCTTTCAGTAAGATTCTAATGAAAATTTGAAAACAGAGTAAATGAGTAAATAAAATTCTACATTTCACACACCACAGTGGACTGGAAGCACACATTGTAGCTGGGGCCGAAAACTTGGAAGTTTTGAAATAAACAGAAACATTCATACATTCTTTTCTTTTCCAGATTACACCTTCATGGTAGTTCTAAAGGACTCAACTTGGCATTTCTAATAAACCCTTTTTTTTTTTCTTTTTGACCATGCCACATGGCTTGCGGGATCTCAGTTCCCCAACCAGAGATTGAATGCAGTCCACAGCAGTGAAAGGGCTGAGTCCTAACCACTGGACCACCAGGGAATTCCCTAATAATCACTTTTTATATGTGACCAATTGAAACTAAATCAGATTTAGCAATAGGATGATTTTTTTTCCCTCGAAGAAAAGACAAGACACAAATCTTGGGCTTGGAGATATCAGCGTTTTGTTTTGTTTTGTTTGTTTGTAAAGCTTCCACTGGAAATTTTGATTCATTTCCAGGTTTTGTGTATAAATTATGCATTTGGAATGGTCACAGGTGTGTGTTGCAACCCGACAGTCAGGCTTGGTTGCTGGGAGGGAACCGAGCCCAGTTGCCAGCCTCAGCCTCAGCACCAAGCAGTGTTTGAACTAAGAGGTAGGAGGACCTATGGAATCAGTGCATTTACCTCCAGGAAAGCTGCCCATAAACTCTAACATCCACATTCCTTGGCTTTTACCTAGGATCATAGCAGCACAGTGTTTATAAAGTTATCAGTTCTGATTAGAAATGGCAGTTATAAGTATATTTGATTAATGGAGGAAAATGGGGACTATCTTCTTAGTTTGAGTACTCCAGAAGCAGACCTGAGATAAGAATTCAAGTACAAATATTATTTATTTGGAAGGTGATGCCAGAAAACACTGGCTGGGAGTGGTAAACTGAGACTGGGAAGAGAAGGCCACTAGTGAGCAAGTATCACTGATCAAGTCACACTTTGGGCAACTGGGGACCTCTGGGAGGCAGTGTGGACATGTCTTGGAGCTGTGCCACCCAAGGGGCAAGGGAGCTGGGGTGTTAATACACCATTCTTATCAGTCATTTAGTCCTCAAGGGCTGTTCTTGGGGAGCGTTAATTCTCTGAACTTATGTGGCCTGTTGCATCTGTATCTGAGCAGTGTGGACTCTGGCATCCAGAGCAAGCCCTTGGGTAGAGAGACACATCCTAGCTGCCATTGGAAGGGGGTCAGAGCACACTGAAATGGTGATGGCCAAGGGGTGGACAGGGCACCTACCATGTCTGCCTCGGGGATGAAAGTAGCTGTTGGGCAGAGAAAGGCTCTGAAGACTGCTGGTCCATAAAGAAAAAAGATGGGGTCTCTGGTTGTTGCCTAAAAACCTAAAAACAGAAAAGGAAGGAAGGGAGGGAGGAAGGAAAGAAGCAAGGAGGGAGGAGAAAATGTAGTCAATAGATGACACAAGCATAGTGAAATGCTGAGAGCAGTTTAAGCAGAGTGACGATCACAGGAAGGAGCCACTATACTATTCCCTTCACATTGGATATGTTTGAAATATTTTCACAGTAGATTAAAAAACAAACTAGAAATTTTCCTAGACTGAATCTCCCTCCACTATCTGACCCCCACACACACCCATTTGGGGAGTCACTTATCCCCTTCAATTTCTTCAAAAGGAATGCAATTTAGTTCTATTTATCTCTCAGGAATTTCCTGAGAAATGGTTTCAGATGCCCAACATGACTCTTGAGTCTTAGAAGGAATTTTCTTTTTACTTTCTGCATGTCTTATTTCTTTTTTATATTTTTTTTTATTTTTTAGATATTAGAAGAGCAGAAGAAGTTTCCTTGTTAAAGCCTTCTGGTGAATATTTTAAAAAGAAGAAAAGAAAAGAAAAAAATAATAAGGAGCCCATAACTGAAGATATTTTAAGCGTGGAGTGTTCTCCAACAAATTCAGGTCCGCCAGGTAAGATTTATGATAGGTGTTTTGTTGTTTTAATTCATTATTAAATCCAAGCATTTCTTAAATTCTTAAGTCCCAAGACCTCTCCTCCCCTCTGGTCACCTTTCTATTCTCCCCCAAACAAAGAAGGACTAAAATTGAAGATTCCAGTGATGAGGATAGAATATGCAACTAATTTTAGAACTAACAGAAATTTTTTGACAAGTTATGTTGTATGGCTCATTATTTTAATTTTATGTATTAGGTCATGGTAGAATGTAAAACTTTAGTAGGATTGGCCATGAATTTGTGGGATAAAGGAAATTTGTTAGATCACTCAGATATACTTCTCTTCCTGATCCTACCTTCATATGACTCTTTCCTGAACTCAATTTAAATTTTGAGTTGGGCGTGTAACAGGAGGGGCAGTAAAAGTTCTGTAAAGGCATCATCCTTTTATTTTTACAGTCGTACATCAGAGCTATTGCAGACCACAGCAATAAAGAAAGTCACACGAATTTTTTTTGTTTCCCAGCTCATATAAAAGTTTACACTCTAGGGCTTCCCTGGTGGTACAGTGGTTGAGAGTCCGCCTGCTGATGCAGGGGACACGGGTTTGTGCCCCAGTCTGGGAAGATCCCACATGCCGCGGAGCAGCTGGGCCCGTAAGCCATGGCCGCTGAGCCTGCGCGTCCAGAGCCTCTGCTCCACAGTGCAACAGGCCACAACAGCGAGAGGCCCGTGTATGCAAAAAAAAAAAAAAGATAAAAGTTTACACTGTAGTGTTACTATTAAGTGTGCAATAGCATTATGTCTTTAAAAATATATACATACCTTAATTAAAAAATACTTTATTTCTAAAAATGCTAACATAATCTGAGCCTTCAGCAAGTCATAGCAGTAACATCAAAGATCACTGATCACTGACCCCCATGGCAAATATAATAATAATGGAAAAGTTTAAAATATTAGGAGAATTACCAAAATGTGACACAGAGACACGAAGTGAGCAAATGCCATTGGAAAAATGGCGCCAATAGACTTGCTCAACACACAGTTGCCACAAACCTTCAATTTCTAAAAAAAAACAAAAAACAGTATCTGTGAAGCACAATAAAATAAGATATACCTATATATAAGAATTAATCTCGGTCGGAGGAAGATGGCAGAAGAGTAAGACGCGGAGATCACCTTCCTCCCCACAGATACACCAGAAATACATCTACACGTGGAACAACTCCTACAGAACACCTACTGAATGCTGGCAGAAGACCTCAGACCTCCCAAAAGGCAAGAAACTCCCCACTTACCTGGGTAGGGCAAAAGAATAAAGAAAAAACAGAGACAAAAGAATAGGGATGCGACCTGCACCAGTGGGAGGGAGCTGTGAAGGAGGAAAGGTTTCCACACACGAGGAAGCCCCTTCGCGGGCGGAGACTGTGGATGGCGGAGGGGGGAAGCTTCGGAGCCGCGGAGGAGAGCACAGCAACAGGGGGGTTGAGGGCAAAGTGGAGAGATTCCCACACAGAGGATCGGTGCCGACCAGCACTCACCAGCCCGAGAAGTTTGTCTGCTCACCCGCCGGGGTGGGCGAGGCTGGGAGATGAGGCTCAGGCTTTGGTTGGAGTGCAGGGAGAGGACTGGGGTTTACGGTGTGAACACAGCCTGCAGGGGGTTAGTAGTGCACCACTGCTAGCCGGGAGGGAGTCCGGGAAAAGTCTGGACCTGCCAAAGAGTCAAGAGACTTTTTCTTCCCTCTTTGTTTCCTGGTGTGCGAGGAGGGGGGATTAAGCGCACTGCTTAAAGGAGCTCCAGAGACGGGTGCGAGCTGTGGCTAACAGCGCAGACCCCAGAAACAGGCATGAGACGCTAAGGCTGCTGCCACAGCCACCAAGAAGCCTCTGTGAGTGCACAGGTCACTATTAACACCTCCCTTCTGGAGAACCTGTGCAGCCCGCCACTGCCAGGGTCCCAGGATCCAGGGACAACTTCCCTGGGAGAACACATGGCGCGCCTCAGGCTGGTGCAACGTCCCACCCTCCTCTGCCACTGCAGGCTCGCCCCGCATCGTACCCCTCCCTCTCTCTGGCCTGAGTGATTCAGAAGCCCCAAGTCAGCTGCTTCTTTAACCTCGTCTTGTCTGAGTGAAGAACAGACACCCTTCAGTGACCTACGTGCAGAGGCAGGGCCAAATCCAAAGCTGAGCCCCGGGAGCTGTGTGAACAAAGAAGAGAAAGGGAAATGTCTCCCAGCAGCCTCAGGAGTAGCGGATTAAATCTCCACAATCAGCTTGATGTACCCTGCATCTGTGGAATACAAGAATAGACACCAAATCATCCCAAATTGAGGTGGACTTTGAGAGCCAGATTTATTATTTTTTCCACTTTTCCTCTATTTGCGACTGTGTATGTGTATTCTTCTGTGTAAGATTTTGTCTCCATAGCTTTGCTTTCACCATATGTCCTAGGGTTCTATACATCCGTATTTTTGTTGTTGTTGTTCTTGTTCTTTTAGTACTTTTTAAAAAAATTTTTTTTCTTAATAATTATTTTTTATTTTAATAGCTTTTTTTTTTTTTTTTTTCTCTCACTGTTGTGGCCTCTTCCGTTGCGGAGCACAGGCTCCGGATGCACAGGCTCAGCTGCCACAGCTCAGGGGTCCAGCCGCTCCACGGCATGTGGGTTCTTCCTGGACCGGGACATGAACCCATGTCCCCTGCGTCAGCAGGCGGACCCTCAACCACTGTGCCACCAAGGAAGGCCTTATTTTATTTTATCTTACTCTATTTAATTTTACTATCTTTCTTTCTTTCTTTCTTTCTTTCTTTCTTTCTTTCTTTCTTTCTTTCTTTCTTTTTCTTTCTTTCTTTCTTTCTTTTTCTTTCTTTCTTTCTTTCTTTCTTTTTCTTTCTTTCTTTCTTTTTCTTTCTTTCTTTCTTTCTTTCTTTCTTTTTCTTTCTTTCTTTCTTTTCCCTCATTCCTTCCTTCCTTCCCTCCTCCCTCCCTCCCTCCTTTCTTTCCTTCTTGCCTTCTTCCTTTCTTTTCTTCTTTCTTTCTCTTTCCCCTTCCTTCCTTCCTTCCTTTTTCTTTCTTTCTTTCTTTCTTTCTTTCTTTCTTTCTTTCTTTCTTTCTTTCTTTCTTCCTTTCTAATTTTTTGCCCTTTTATTCTAAGCCATGTGGATGAAAGGCTCTTGATGCTACAGCCAGGAGTCAGTGCTGTGCCTCTGAGGTGGACAGCCAACTTCAGGACACTGGTCAACAAGAGACCTCCCAGCTCCACATAATATCAAAAGGCAAAAATCTCCCAGAGAGCTCCATCTCAACACCAGCACCCAGCTTCACTCAACAACCAGCAAGCTACAGTGCTGGACACCCTATGCCAAGCAACTAGCAAAACAGGAACACAACCCCACCCATTAGCAGAGAGGCTGCCAAAAATCATAATAAGTCCACAGACACCACAAAACACACCCCCAGATGTGGACCAGCCCACCAGAGAGACAAGATCCAGCCTCATCCACCAGAACACAGGCACTAGTCCCCTCCACCAGGAAGCCTACACAACCCACTGAACCAACCTTAGCCACTGGAGACAGACATCAAAAACAACGGGAGCTACGAACTTGCAGCCTGCAAAAAGGTGAACCCAATCACAGTAAGATAAGCAAAATGAGAAGACAGAAAATCACACAGCAGATGAAGGAGCAAGATAAAAATGCACCAGACCTAACAAATGAAGAGGAAATAGGCAGTCTACCTGAAAAAGAGTTCAGAATAATGATAGTAAAGATGATCCAAAATCTTGGAAATAGAATGGACAAAATGCAAGAAGCAGTTAACAAGGACCTAGAAGAAATAAAGATGAAACAGACAATGATGAAACAACACAAAAATGAAATTAAAAATACTCTAGATGGGATCAATAGCAGAATAACTGAGGCAGAAGAATGGATAAGTGACCTGGAAGATAAAAGAGTGAAAATAACTACTGCAGAGCCGAATAAAGCAAAGAGAATGAAAATAACTGAGAACATTCTCAGAGATCTCTGGGACAACATTAAATGCACCAACATTCGAATTATAGGGGTTCCAGAAAAAGAAGAGAAAAAGAAAGGGACTGAGAAAATATTTGAAGAGATTATAGTTGAAAACTTCCCTAATATGGGAAAGGAAATAGTTAATCAAGTCCAGGAAGCACAGAGAGTCCCATACAGGATAAATTCAAGGAGAAATACGCCAAGACACATATTAATCAAACTGTCAAAAATTAAATACAAAGAAGACATATTAAAAGCAGAAAGGGAAAAGCAACAAATAACACACAAGGGAATCCCCATAAGGTTAACAGCTGATCTTTCAGCAGAAACTCTGCAAGCCAGAAGGGACTGGTAGGACATATTTAAAGTGATGAAGGAGAAAAACCTACAACGAAGATTACCCAGCAAGGATCTCATTCAGATTTGATAGAGAAATTAAAACCTTTACAGACAACCAAAAGCTAAGAGAGTTCAGTACCACCAAACCAGCTTTACACAAATGCTAAAGGAACTTCTCTAGGCAAGAAACACAAGAGAAGGAAAAGACCTACAATAACGAACCCAAAACAATTTAAAAAATGAGAATAGGAACATACATATCGATAATTACCTTAAACGTAAATAGATTAAATGCTCCGACCAAAAGACACAGACTGGCTGAATGGATAAAAAAACAAGACCCATATATATGCTGTCTACAAGAGACCCAGTTCAGACTTAGGGACACATACAGACTGAAAGTGAGGGGATGGAAAAAGATATTCCATGCAAATGGAAATCAAAAGAAAGCTGGAGTAGCAATTCTCATATCAGACAAAATATACTTTAAAGTAAAGACTATTAGAAGAGACAAAGAACACTACATAATGATCAAGGGATCTATCCACGAAGAAGATAGAGCAATTGTAAATATTTATGCACGCAACATAGGAGCACCTCAATACATAAGGCAAATACTAACAGCCATAAATGGGGAAATCGACAGTAACACTTTCATAGTAGGGGACTTTAACACCTCAATTTCACCAATGGACAGATCATCCAAAATGAAAATAAATAAGGAAACACAAGCTTTAAATGATACATTAAACAAGTTGGGCTTAATTGATATCTATATGACATTCCAACCAAAAACAACAGAATACACGTTTTTCTCAAGTGCTCTTGGATCATTCTACAGAATACATCATATCTTGGGTCATAAACCAAGCCTTGGTAAATTTAAGAAAATTGAAATCGTTTCAAGTATGTTTTCCGACCAAATGCTATGAGACTAGATATCAATTACAGGAAAGATCTGTAAAAATTACAAACACATGGAGGCTAAACAATACACTACTTAATAATGAAGTGATCACTGAAGAAATCAAAGAGGAAATAAAAAAATACCTAGAAACAAATGACAAGGGAGACACGATGAACCAAAACCTATGGGATGCAGCAAAAGAAGTTCTAAGAGGGAAGTTTATAGCAATACAGTTCTACCTTAAGAAACAGGACACATCTCGAGTAAACAACCTAACCTTGTACCTTAAGCAATTAGAGAAAGAAGAACAGAAAAACCCCAAAGTTAGCAGAAGGAAAGAAATCATAAAGATCAGATGAGAAATAAATGAAAAAGAAATGAAGGAAACAATAGCAAAGATCAATAAAACTAAAAGCTGGTTCTTTGAGAAGATAAACAAAATTGATAAACTACTGGCCAGATTCATCAAGAAAAAAAGGGAGAAGACTCAAATCAATAGAATTAGAAATAAAAAAGAAATAATAACTGACACTGAAGAAATACAAAAGATCACTAGAGATTACTACAAGCAACTCTATGCCATGAAAATGGACAACCCGCAATAAATGGACAAATTCTTAGAAATGCACAACATGCCAACACTGAATCCAGAAGAAATAGAAAATATGAACAGACCAATCATAAGCACTGAAATTGAAACTGTGATTAAAAATCTTCCAAAAAACAAAAGCCCAGGACCAGATGGCTTCACAGGCGAATTCTATCAAACATTTAGAGAAGAGCTAACACCTATCCTTCTCAAACTCTTCCAAAATATAGCAGAGGGAGGAACACTCCCAAACTCATTCTATGAGGCCACCATCACCCTGATACCAAAACCAGAAAAGGATGTCACAAAAAAAGAAAACTACAGGCCAATATCACTGATGAACATAGATGCAAAAATCCTCAACAAAATACTAGCAAACAGAATCCAATAGCACATTAAAAGGATCATACACCATGATCAAGTGGGGTTTATTCCAGGAATGCAAGGATTCTTCAATATACGCAAATCAATCAACGTGATGCACCATATTAACAAATTGAAGGAGAAAACCATATGATCATGTCAATAGATGCAGAGAAAGCTTTTGGCAAAATTCATCACCCATTTATTATAAAAACCCTGCAGAATGTAGGCACAGAGGGAACTTTTCTCAACATAATAAAGGTCATATATGACAAACCCACAGCCAACATCGTCCTCAATGGCGAAAACCTGAAAGCATTTCCACTAAGATCAGGAACAAGACAAGGTTGCCCACTCTCACCACTCTTATTCAACATAGTTTTGGAAGTTTTAGCCATAGCAATCAGAGAAGAAAAGGAAAAAAAAGGAATCCGAATCAGAAATGAAGCAGTAAAGCTGTCACTGTTTGCAAATGACATGATACTATACATAGAGAATCCTAAAGATGCTACCAGAAAACTACTAGAGCTAATCAATGAATTTGGTAAAGTAGCAGGATACAAAATTAATGCACAGAAATCTCTGGCATTCCTATGCACGAAGGATGAAAAATCTGAGAGTGAAATCAAGAAAACACTCCCATTTACCATTGCAACAATAAGAATAAAATATCTAGGAATAAACCTACCTAAGTAGACAAAAGACCTGTATGCAGAAAATTATAAGACACTGATGAAAGAAATTAAAGATGATACAAACAGATGGAGAGATATACCATGTTCTTGGATTGGAAGAATCAACATTGTGAAAATGACTCTACTACCCAAAGCAATCTATAGATTCAATGCAATCCCTATCAAACTACCACTGGCATTTTTCACAGAACTAGAACAAAAAATTTCACAATTTGTATGGAAACACAAAAGACCCCGAATAGCCAAAGCAATCTTGAGAACAAAAAATGGAGCTGGAGGAATCAGGCTGCCTGACTTCAGACTATACTACAAAGCTACAGTAATCAAGACAGTATGGTACTGGCACAAAAACAGAAAGATAGATCAATGGAATAGGATAGAAAGCCCAGAGATAAACCCATGCACATATGGTCACCTTATCTTTGATAAAGGTGGCAGGAATATACAGTGGAGAAAGGACAGCCTCTTCAATAAGTGGTGCTGGGAAAATTGGATAGGTACATGTAAAAGTATGAGATTAGATCACTCCCTAACACCATACACAAAAATAAGCTCAAAATGGATTAAAGACCTAAATGTAAGGCCAGAAACTATCAAACTCTTAGAGGAAAACATAGGCAGAACACTCTATGACATAAATCACAGCAAGATCCTTCTTGACCCATCTCCTAGAGTAATGGAGATAAAAACAAAAATAAACAAATGGGACCTAATGAAACTTCAAAGCTTTTGCACAGCAAAGGAAACCATAAACAAGACCAAAAGACAGCCCTCAGAATGGGAGAAAATATTTGCAAATGAATCAACTGACAAAGGATTAATCTCTAAAATTTACAGGCAGCTCATGCAGATCAATAACAAGATAACAAACAACTCAATCCAAAAATGGGCAGAAGACCTAAATAGACATTTCTCCAAAGAAGACACACAGATGGCCAACAAACACATGAATGAATGCTCAACATCATTAATCATTAGAGAAATGCAAATCAAAACTACAATGAGATATCATCTCACACCAGTCAGAATGGCCATCATCAAAAAATCTAGAAATAATAAATGCTGGAGAGGGCAGAGAAAAGGGAACACTCTTGCACTGCTGGTGGGAATGTGAATTGGTACAGCCACTATGGAGAACAGTATGGAGGTTCCTCAAAAAACTACACATAGAACTACCATATGACCCAGCAATCCCACTACTGGGCATATACAATGAGAGAACCATAATTCAAAAAGAGTCATGTACCAAAATGTTCATTTCAGCTCTATTTACAATAGCCAGGAGATGGAAACAACCTAAGTGTCCATCATTGGATGAATGGATAAAGAAGATGTGGCACATATATACAGTGAAATATTACTCAGCCATAAAAAGAAACGAAATCGAGTTATTTGTAGTGAGGTGGATGGACATAGAGTCTGTCATACAGAGTGAAGTAAGTCAGAAAGAGAAAGACAAATACCATATGCTAACAAATATATATGGAATTTAAGCAAAAAATGTCATGAAGAACCTAGGGGTAAGACGGGAATAAAGACATAGACCTACTAGAGAATGGACTTGAGGATATGGGGAGGGAGAAGGTTAAGCTGTGACAAAGTGAGAGAGAGGCATGGACATATATACACTACCAAACGTAAAATAGATAGCTAGTGGGAAGCAGCCGCATAGCACAGGGAGATCAGCTTGGTGCTTTGTGACCACCTGGATGGGTGGGATAAGGAGGGTGGGAGGGTGGGTGACGCAAGAAGGAGGAGATATGGGAACATATGTATATGTATAACTGATTCACTTTGTTATAAAGCAGAAACTAACACACCATTGTAAAGCAATTATACTTCAATACAGATGTAAAAAAAAAAAAAAGAATCTCTAGCTTGCTTGCAGCTCTGTGGGCTTCTTGCATAGTATATTCCAATGAAAAGAATTATTTATGCTTTCCTTATGCAAATTAGAGTCAGACGCTTTATAAACCATCAACTAGCTGGGTTCTTAAAATTCTAAATACTGGGATTTGTTTAGGGGATTTGCCAAAAAATATAGTGTATTCATGCATTCTGCGAGAGCTCCAGTCTTCTAATAGTGCCAAAACTCAAAATAGGAGAATTTTGAATTATTGAGAAGGAGATAGTCCCACATCTGTCTGGGTTGATTTTGGAAGTTTTTACAGCCTATGTGTTCCCAAGCTTCCCAGGAGCTAAATATTCAGACAGGAGTTTTACCTGTGTTTAACTTCTCTCCCCATCACTCATGACTTATCTGATTATTTTCAATGTTAACAAAAATTTAAGTTCAAAATCCATTTTACTACAAGCAATATTGGTAATTATTTTTCTAAAGATTCCTACCCCAAATCTCATATCCTACTTCATTCTCTCCTTTGCTTTGCAGTAAGTCCTGGCTTATACAGTAGAACCATGACCCCCACATATGACCCCATCAACGGAACGCCAGCATCATCCACAATGACTTGGTTCAGTGACAGCCCATTGACTGAACAAAACTGCAGTATCCTCGCATTCAGCCAGCCCCCTCAGTCACCAGAAGCTCTTGCTGACATGTACCAGCCTCGGTCTCTAGTTGACAAAGCCAAGCTTAACGCAGGGTAAGGACATGACTTTGTTTTGCATCTCTGTGAACTGATGTTGATATAGTAAGAGAGATGCTGCAGGGATGGGGGAGGGGGGTGTTTCATTTTTAAGTTAGCATGCCTAGGGATTGTATACTATTCACAAAAGTCAGTGCTGATTTTAGCAACAAAAGGGAAAAATGCAGCCTTTCATCATTTCAATACATTTAAAGTGTAACAACATTTACTCACTGGGTTAATTCAACGGTTTACCATATGTGAATACTAATTCTTTGTCCGTACACGTGTGCAAAGTGTATTTTATTTAATGTAGAACAGCTTATAAGTGGGTTGGTCCCCATGGAGCAGCAGGGGAGACCCAAGGTGACCTCACTGTCTTTAGTAGAGCACTCCTCCATTCTGTGATCCAACAAGTGAGTCCTTCAGCTTTTGTATGAAGTGGTCTCAGAAAACACAATTTATTTCTCAAACCACCATCTATTTCACTCCCTGTTGTCCACCAAGTCAAGTCAAGTTTGTTAACAGCATTCCACTCCCTGTGAGACCTGGCCCCGAAGATGTCCATCTGTCCGTCCTGCTGTGCTGTCATGCACCCCATCCCCCCACGTGCATGCTCACTCTTCTGTCACCGCCTCACCTCCAGCTTTTCCCCTGCTCCAGAACCCTCTCCTTCCCTCCTCCTCTACCAGCCTGTCCCTGTTTGTCCTTTAAAGCCCAGCCACATACAGTCTCCTCCTCAGATGTCACCATTCAAGATCAGTCACTTCCCTTGAGTCCTGTTCTTTGGCTCCAGTGTTACCTTGTTCCTTTAGTATGAGGCTTGGTTACCCCACAGGACTGTCAATTCCTTTAGGTTGGAGACAGCATCTTGGTTATTCTTATTCTCCCAAAAGGGAATATATAATATGTAATAGAATATTACATATATGAGTATATATAATTAATATATATAAACATATATAAAATACTTGATAGAAGTTCAAGCCATTTTCCTTCAGTGGTATTGGATGCCCTTCATTCCCACCTTGTTTTCTTGTTAACTTTTCATCACACGTCACCATTGCCAGTATTTATGTTTCAAACTCTGGAATTGTGCTACCCAGTACAGGAGCCACTAGGCGCATATGGACATTTACATTTATGTTTGAATATAATTAAAATTAAAATGTGGCACTAGCCACATTTAAACCTTCAGTAACCACATGTGGCTACTCAGTTGGGCAGGGCAATATAGAATATTTCCATCGTTACAGAAAGTTCTACATAGAACTTTCTGTAAGATAGAGCCAGTTCTGGGTTGGACCACCTAGTGTAGAAGTGGTCAGCAGTCAGCAAATACATGCAGCACAAGTACATGCAATAGTCACCAAGTGCAGATTCTAATTCTGGCTCCACCACGAGGCATGTGACCTTGAACATATCACTTAATGTTGCTGAGGCTCATTTTCCTCATCCGTAAAACTGAGAAAATAAGAACTGCCCTGGGGGACTTCCCTGGTGGTCCAGTGGGTGAGACTGTGCTCCCAATGCAGGGGGCCTGGGCTCAATCCCTGGTCAGAGAACTAGATCCCGCATGCTGCAACTAAGAGCCCACATGCCACCACTAAAGATCCCACATGCCGCAACTAAGGCCTGGCGCAGCCAAAATAAATAAAATTAAATTGTAAAAAAATTAACTCAAAAAAAAATAAAAATAAGAACTGCCCTGGCTCCTTCAGTTGATTAAAGTGTCAGTGAGAAAATATATACATACAAAAAGCACTTGGAAAGCTGTATGATAAAATGGAGATAAAAGCTATTATCAAGTCATCTCCCTTACTGAGTTTTGGTTATATTACTTACCTGGACTTTGTTCAAGGGTGTATATATACACACATATACATTTAGATATACATGTATATGTATATAAAAACACATTGTATAATACTATAATTATGTATGTAAAATTGATTGACTTTTAAAACTCATCCTGTTGTTTTCCAGTTGGCTAGACTCCTCACGTTCCCTTATGGAACAAGGCATCCAGGAGGATGAGCAGCTGCTATTACGATTTAAATACTACACTTTCTTTGACTTGAATCCCAAAGTAAGATACTTTTTCTGTATTCTGTCTCTCTTTTTTTTTTTAATGTGAATGCATGCAAGTGTAAAATTGAGTTATTTAGTTTTCAAAATTAGGATTAATATATGTAACCTTCTGTTTAGCTCCGTAGGGTTAGACCAATAAATGTATACTGGTCTCTGGATTTTCATCTGTTTGTCTCTAGCGAGCATGGTAGGCTACCCCTGAGTTACGGGAGTCTCTAAGGGTCTTCACTCATGGCATGTGCTGTCCCTCTCCATTCACGGTGAAGCAGGAACAAAAAGAGAGTGACTCACAGAGTTGGAGCCCTTCATGCTTAGGAAGGAGGGAGTTGTCAAGGCCCAGGTTAAAAGGGAAGGGGTTTTGGCGAAGAAGCCAGGACCTGATGATAGCACACACCTGGCTCCCCACTGCGGTGCTGAATGAGTCTTGGGTGATGAGACAGAGGAATTATCTGGATAAATAAAGACCCCCAGCTGGTTGCCAACTCTCATTTTAAGTGCACATCTCCCACCTGAAGTTTCCTAGGACAGCTGAATGGTGAAATAAGTCCTCTGAACATCTGCCCCTTCCTTGTCCCAATTCTCCCTTTTGTAGAGTTGTGAATCGGTACTTAAAATGGCCCAAAGTAGAAAACACACACTGGGTCACCAGTCCTCTGAGTGCACAGCATGATGGTATCTTTCCCATCCCAGTTCCGAGCTGACTGCTATTCTTCAATTATCACCAGGCACTTGTTCAAGGGGCCTGCCTCGGGTCACCTTTTCTGCACCCGTCCCTTCCTCATCCACGGCAGTGTTTTCACCTCTTGTGTCACTGTCTTCTCCTTGGTCCTCATTTTGTCTGGTCTCCAGAGGCCCATCTGGACTCCCACTGCTTACCTAACTGGCATCTGCTTCAAAATAAGCCCTCTTCCTTGTTTCTGTGGAGCTCTTGCTCAGTCTTTGATTGAGATCCAACTTACTGACCATGGGCCTAGCTTGCATCTGGAGTACATCACTTCCAGTGAATCATGGTAAGAAAGCAAACTTCGGCTCTTCTTTGATAAAATCTTCAGGAGAAATTACTGTTATGCCTTCTCTTAACCAATTGCTTTGATTTTCTTAAGGGCAATGTGAATTATACAATTATTCAGGTTTTCCTTTTTGTGTTGCTTGCTAGAACCAAATCTTTACACTTTCTGTAACCTCATTTATTAGCCTCATTCCTGACTCAGCTTTACTCTTTCCTTGCCTAGTTCCTAGGTAACTTAATCTACCTTGTTGTATGCTATCTATTCTAATAAACTGCCTTAAATTTTTTTCTGAAACTAGATAACACATAAATAAAACATACTTATGCATTTTCTAATTGCTAAGTCAGGAATGTGGCCCCAACTTATCTCTTCAGACTTGTGCCCCTGTTGTTTTATTTATTCATTTATTTATCGAACAACTACCGTGTGCCAAGAACTAAAATAGAAGTTTAGGGCCCAAAACTGCTGGACGTTAGAATAACGTTTTCAAATTTATGAAATAAAATACATAGGATTACAAAATGGAACTATATTAAACTATAGTAACCAAAATATTTTTCAAAATGGATATAAGTAACATATCTGTTTAATTAGTTGATATCAAAGTGATGATGAATGTGAGCATTATTTGAAAATAGCAGCTGTGATGCAATATGAAAAATCTGTGATTCTGGTAGTCATGAAGTCACAAGTGCTCTGTAGTACTGTGGTTTGTGGCCTACATTCACCATGGAAGGAAATGCTATATTTCCATTAAAAGCCGGTGCAAATGAAGCTGTAGTTTTTTCTAATCCAGGCTTATGGACCACCTGATTTAGACTCCCAAATCCAAGAATCGCAGATTCAGAAACCCTGCCCTAAGATCACATTCCGGTCTTATTCCTTCCAGAAAGGAGCTTTTCTCTACTCTTGGTCACACTGGCCCATCTCTTCTCTGAGCCACAACTGAGTGTAATTTCAGGACTCACACCTCTAATTGTACCACATTCATGGATTTTCTCTACAAATAAACTGCAAACTCCTTGGAGTTATGGAGCACTTCTGATATTTCCTTTACCCTCAACCCCTACGTGCTGCAAGGATGCTGGGAGAGTCAGACTTTCCTAGTAGCCTCCTCCAGGATGGGATCAGCTGGTCCTTGGAGACCCTCCTATCAATTTCCTTGCCAAGAGATTCCCCATTAAGACCCTTGCTTTGGCAATTGAGCTCAATGTTAAAAGTAAACTCAGTCATCTACTGCTTAAAATAATAGTCAGGAACATGTAAGTGACATCACAGTCAAGGAATTCAGACATGGCAGATCATCAGCATAAATATCAAACGTGGAGGGGCAGTGTTAAAAATGTGTTGTCTAAAAAGTGGAAGATTAAAAGGAATCATACTTCCAGAAGGGGACAAGAACCCGGAAGGCAAATGTTACTAGGGCTGTTGTCCTAGGCTCTTTGCCTCCAGCCCCTGCTTGCTTAATTGGTAAGGAGTTCTGTGTCCATAGCCTATGAACAAAATGTATCTGAATCTAACAGCCAAATAGCAGCTGTCAACCCAAAGGTGACAGGAAAACTCAAGCTGGTGGGATAGGACTTTGGGGTGCAGGATGATTCCCCAACAGCTCTAGAGTTGTGGCAGCCCTCCCTTCTCTGCCCTCCTAAAGTACAGAGTGCTATAAATGAAACCAAGTTTAAGGCTCCTGGGTAGAGGGATATAGAAACTTAAGATAGAGTTTGTGCTTTCAAAGAATCTACAATCAAGTCAAGAAGAGCAAAGATAGCACCCATGAAACCACTGCAAACATACAAGGTACCTACATTTAGGAGTCAAATCATATAATAGGACCAGGGAGCTTCTCTTCTCTGGCTTTCACAGGAGAGATCAAAGCAAGCTGTAGAGCTGAGGCAACAGGCACTGATTAAAATCTCAGATGTATGAAAGTACTAGAATACATTTCAAATATAATATACTTTAAAAATGCAAAATCCAGAATCCATAAAGAAAAGATTGGTACATTTTAATTAAAAAATGAAAATTTTATGCATGGCAAAAAACTATAAATGAAGTTAAAAAACAGTCATTGTAACACATACTACAAACAAAAGGCCAGTGTCTAATATATCAAGAGCTCTTCCAAATCAATAATAAAATACCAACAACCCAGTAGACTAATGAGCAAAGGATGTGAACACATAGTTCATAGAAAAGGAACTACAATGGCTCTTATAAGGTCTTATACTGGCAAAGATCAAAAAGTTTCATGCACTATCTTAGTCAGCAAGAGTATGGGGAAATAGGCTGTCTCATACATACACTGCTTGTAGGTCAAATTATGAATTAATCTAGCCTCTATGGAAGGCAATTTGGCAATATCTATCAGAATTACCATTCTGCATGGCTTTGACCCAGAAAATCCACCCCTTGATATTTATACCATAGTTATACTCAAATATGTGAGTTGATATGTCTGTACACAAGAACAGTTATTACATTATTTGTTTTAGGGGAAAATTGGAAACCACCTAAACATCCATTAATAGGGAACTGGTTAAATACGTTATGGTCCATTCATATAGTGTTTTGATTAGGAGGAATGAATCAACTTTCTTTTGATGGGGAGCATATTCAGGGAATATTACTGAATGAAAAAGAACAAGGTACAAAATAATCGGTAGAGAAACTACACTTTGTGGGGAACAAGGAAGGGAAAGAAAAAGACTGACTTTTTATTGTACACCCTCTGTCCCTTTTGAATTCATTCAAAATGAATTCCATCATTATATACTCTTTTGCCCCATTTAAGTGCATTTTAAAATGTGTGCATTTAAGAAAAACAAAAAAACTTTTGTGACTCCAGTAGTTTATAGTATTTTTTTAAATGTTCACTAGAGAAAAGGTACATCAGTTTTAATAAGAGGCCTAGAAGATACTAAAACTTGCTATCCAACTGGGGACTTCCCTGGTGGTCCAGTGATTAAGAATCCACCTGCCAATGCAGGGGGCACGGGTTTGAGCCCTGGTCCAGGAAGATCCCACATGCTGCAAAACAACTAAGCCCGTGCACCACAACTACTGAGCCTGTGTGCCGCAACTACTGAGCCCACATGTCACAACTACTGAAGCCCGCACACCTAGAGCCCATGCTCTGCAACAAGAGAAGCCACTGCAATGAGAAGCCCGCGCACCTAAACGAACAGTAGCCCACACTTGCAGCAACTAGAGAAAGCTTGTGCACAGAAATGAAGATCCAGCACAGCCAAAATAATTAATTAATTTTAAAAACTTGCTACCCAAGTTTTTAGGGAATCACTTAAGAGTGATTAGATCCAAATAGTAATCCTTTCCTGAGAGCATGAAAACTACGGGAGGTAGGTTTTGTTATTTTTTATATTGTTGGTTGGTGGTAGGAGGGAAGGGTTTAGTGAATTGACTAGATAGGGAGAAACAGGGATTCAAGCAGTGGAGTTGGCAGAAACCACGTGCTTTGGTGGTTTCTATTTTCAATTAACCAGGAGACAAAGGAAATTGAGGGCCAAGGAGAGGGCAGCAGTAGCCAGTTCCCACCAGGGAAAAATTTGTTTCTGAGTAGCTGAAAGCACTGAAAGAGTTCTCAGGAAAAAAGCTTTTGGGACACCTGTTAATGAATGAACCTGTGAAGACCCAGGACCTTGTGCTGTCCCAGAGCCTCAGTGGGAATGTGAACAAGCCTCCAAAGAGGAAAATCCAGAGCTCTGTGGATGCCGCAGAGGAATCTAGGTTCCTCAGCAGGAGCCAGGCTGGCCCGGCCTCTTCTCTTCATGTTAGTCTGTAAATGCAGGCAACTCTTGTTTAACCAATATTCTGTCAAAGAGTTTTTTTTAATCTGGCTTGGGGTGGAGGGGAGTTAAGTATTTTTAGGTGAGGAAGCTCTTATTAAATTTTTTAAATCTTTACTGACTGCATTTGAGAGAGAAGCCTTACAGGGTGATTTAACTTACTCTCACTAAAACCCCTACAGCAGACAGAGAGGGAGAAATAGGTGATTGATAGATAGATAGATAGATAGATAGATAGATAGATAGATAGATAGATGATAGACAAATATGACAGTTTGTTAGTCCAATTCAGATTTCGGCAACCGCACATACTATTTAGATTTTGTGTTTCAGCTGTGAATTAAAGGCAGGGGCCTCTGGGGGAGTGGGTTGGGTGTTGCTTGCCTGGTTTTGGTGTGCACTTTGTGTGTGGTTTGTTTAGTTGTCATGTCTTTGGATTACAGTATAATTGACATGCCATAAAATTTACCCATTGTAAGTGTACAATGTGATTTTCAGTGAATTTATATAGTTGTGCAACCATCACCACAATCTAGTTTTAAAACACTTGTGTCACCCAAATATGTTTCCTCATACCCATTTGTGGTCAGTCCCTGCCCCCAGCCCCAGCCCGCACCTGGTCTGCTTTCTGTCTTGAGTTTTGCCTTTTCTAGAAATTTCACATATGGAATACAGTGTGTAGTCTTGTATCTGGACTCTCGGCATGATGACTTCGAAGGTTATCTGTGTTTTTGCCAGAGTGGTGTCCTATCGTGTGGATGGACACATTTGGATACACTTGTTTATCCATTTTCCAGTTGAGGGACATTGGGTTGTTTCTGGTTTGGAGCTGTTATGAATGATGCTACCATGAATGTTTTTATGCGTGTCATATTTTGGTTTGTTTTTGGAGGATTCTGGGGCAAACTCCTGAGGGTTTCCATGACTCCTGTCGAAGTTCACAAAACAAGGACAGACTTTCTTAAGATTCTTATTATTCCAGCCTCCTGAAAACCACACCCCTGGATCTGCATTTGCCCTCCTTTCCAAGCAGCTTTAGAAATGCTGAGAAGGAGGGAGTCTGTGGACAGGTCACTGTCCCACTGGCCTAAGAGCAGCACCGCTTGCCAGGCTCAGCTCACTGTGGATTTTGACCTTCCCTGTCACCTTTTTCCCTAGTGTGCATAAAGTTAATGCAAAACGAAAAACAAACTCATGCCAACCAACCCGGGATAAACCTGTTTAGGTACTGTATCTTTCTATTTCTCCCCCATGTTATCTTTAACATTTTATCTTTTTTAAAGGATACAGTAAAGTATAGCCTCAATATGAAAAAAAAAAGAAAAGAAAATCAAACATAGGAGAGTTATTGTTTAATTGGTACAGAATTCCAGTTTTGCAAGATGAAATGAGTTCTGGAGACAGATGGTGGTAATGGTTGCACAGCAATGCAAGTGTACTTAATGCCACTGAACCATACACTTAAAAATGGCTAATACTAAAAAGGAATTATTTAGAGTAAAAATGGAAAATAGTCCTTTACCATGACATTTCTCCTGAGAACTAGCCACAGTTAACAGCTTAATGACTAATCATTCATGCAGATTTTTTCACATACATTTATAAACGTATTTTTGAACAGATTTTCAGGATCTTTTCTTCCTACATAAATAGGATCATGTATTTGCTGTGTAGCTCGCTTCTTTTTACTTCATAATATATCACGGCCATCTTTTCGTGTCAGCATGTGTCTGACTCACTTTTTTTAACCAGTACAAAATAATCAGAGGAAAGGCTATAGTTTATCAGGACCTGTGGGTTGCTTGAAATTTTTCCTCTTTCAAAAACTGTGAACATTCTTGTACAAGTGTCTTTGATGAGTGCTTTGCATTTCTTTAGACTAGTAACTGTGGACATGCTCATGAAAGGGCAAAAAAACATTTATATATCCCACCAAAGTTCTTCCTACTGATCTCATATTTGTAAGTGCCCGTTTGCACCACATCCTCACCAATACCAGCCATTACCAGTACTTACAGCCTGGGTAAATCTCATAAGAAAATAGAAATTATGTCATCTTGTTTTGGGGGGGTTTTCTAATAAATTTATTTATTTATTTTTGGTTGTGTTGGGTCTTCATTGCTATGCGCAGGCTTTCTCTAGTTGCAGTGAGTGGGGGCTACTCTTCGTTGTGGTGTGAGGGCTTCCCATTGCAGTGGCTTCTCTTGTTGTGGAGCATGGACTCTAGGCTCACGGGCTTCAGTAGCTGCAGCACGTAGGCTCAGTAGTTGTGGCGCACAGGCTTAGTTGCTCCATGGCATGTGGGATCTTCCCGGACCAGGGCTCGAACCTGTGTCCCCTGCATTGGCAGGCGGGTTCTTAACCACTATGCCACCAGGGAAGCCCTATGTCTTCTTGTTTTAATTTGAATTCTCTGATTACTAGTGAGGTTGAGACTCTTTTCTAATGTTTATGTGGCCATTTTTGTTTCTTCTGTGAATTGCCTGTTGATCTTCTATTGAACTCTTTATATTTTTCGTATTTATTTATAGGAGCACTTTGTGTGTAATGGATATTACCTTTTTTTATTGCAGATATTTCCTTTCAATCTATACCTTATAAACATATAATCTTCTTCAGGGTATTTTTCACTTAAAAATGTTTAGTTATTGGGCTTCCCTGGTGGCGCAGTGGTTGAGAGTCCGCCTGCCGATGCAGGGGACACGGGTTCATGCCCCAGTCTGGGAAGATCCCACATGCCACAGAGAGGCTGGGCCCGTGAGCCATGGCCGCTGAGCCTGCGCATCCGGAGCCTGTGCTCCGCAATGGGAGAGGCCACAACAGTGAGAGGCCCACATACCGCAAAAAAAAAAAAAAGTTTAGTTATTGATTGTCAAGTCAGCCTTATACAGCATAACCTAAAGTTTTCCTGTCTTGCTTAGAAAGGGCTTCCTTGCTTAAAAATTACAAAAAGTTTCCTCTCATGTTTCCTTCTAATAATTTTGATTGTTATCTTTAGATTTTTTTATAACTGCTTTTAGATATATAATTCACATAATACCATGCATTTCACATACCAACATTTCACCCATTTAATATGTACAAATCAATGGTTTTTAGTATATTCACAGAGTTGTGCAACCAACACCACTATCTAATTTCAGAGCATTTTCATCATCCCACCAAGAAGTCCATCACCCATTTGGAGTCTCTTCCCATTTCCCTCCAACCCTCCCAATCCTAAGCAACCATCAGTCTACTTTCTGTCTCTGTGGATTTGCTTATTCTGGACATTTCATGTAAATAGAGTTATACAATATACAAACTATGTGGTACTTTGTGACAGTTTCTTTCACTTAGCATAGTATTTTCAAGGTCTATTCATATTGTAGCATGTATCAGTATTTCATTTCTTTTCATTGCCAAATAATATTCCATTATATATATATATGTATTTATGCATTTGTCAGCTGACAGACATCTGGATTGTTTCTACTTTTTGGCTATTATGAAAAATACTGCTGTGAACATTCATGTACAAGTCTGGGTTTTTTTTTTTTTGTTTTTTTTTTTTGACTTTTTAAAATTATGGTAAAATACACAAAACATAACATTTGCCATTTTAACCATTTTTAGGTCTACAATTCAATGGCATTAAGTACATTCACAGTGTTGGGCAACTATCACCGCTATTTTCAGAACTATTTCATCATCCTGTACAGAAACACTGTACCCATTAAACAAAGCTCCCCATTCTCCCCTTCCTCCAGCCCCTAGTAACCTCTATCCTACTTCCCGTCTGTATGAATTTGCCTAGCCTAGGTACTTCATGTAAGTGGAATCATACAATAATTGTCCTTTTGTGTCTGTCTGATTTCACTGAGCGTAATGTCTTCAAGGTTCATTTATGTTGTAGCATGTATCAGAATTCCTTTCCTTTTCAAGGCTGAATAATACTCCATTGTATTCCATTGTATGTATTAGATATACATTACATTTTGTTTATTCAATCATCTATTGATAGATATTTTGGTTGTTTCTAGCTTTTGGCAATTGTGAATAATGCTACTATGAACATTGGTGTAATAGTATTTGTTTGAGTCCTGGTTTTCAATTTTTTTTCAGTATATACTTATGAGTGGAATTGCTGGATCATATTCTATGTTCAGCTTTTTCAGGAACCACCAAACTGTTTCCCATGGAGGCTACACCATTTTACATTCCCAACAGCAATGCACAGGGGTTCCAATTTGTCCACATTCTCACCAATATTTGTTATTATCTGTCCTTTAGATTAGATTCATCCTAGTGGATGTGAAGTGGTATCTCATTGTGGTTTTGCATGTTTAGATTCTTTAATCTATCTGTAATTTATGTATTTTGGATGTGTAAGATTGTCTTGTGATTTTCGATTTTTGTCCTCCAAATTGCTTGGCATTTTTAACACTGTTATAGTGCTGAATTCTTTCTTCCCCTGCTGATAAAATGCCATTTTCTTTTATATTAAATTGTATACATACATAGGTCTGTTGCTAGATATTGCTTTACTGACATTTTGTGCATTGCTATACCAATACCACACTATTTTAGTTGCTGCCACTTTATTATATATTTTAATATCTAGGAAGACAAGTGTCTCCCCAGCATTGTTCTTTTTCAAAATGTTCTTGGAGATATTTGAACATCGTCTCTTCCAGCCCAACTTGATCAGCTTGCATGAAGTTCCACTAAAAACCCCTGTCAGATTCTGATTAGATTTACAGAGTCTACAGATCAGCCTGGGGACCCCTTCTCCTTATACTACTTATCACATAAACCATTTCACTATCTGTGTTTCCCAACAATAGAAGTGTGATAAGAAAGGGAAAATACTGGAATCTAAGATGGGTCAGTTTGGCCCCTTCAAGAAGCTCTGGAAAATATTCTGAGAAAGAAAATTCTTAATTCAGAAGTAAAATGAGCTGGGGCAGTGGAAAGATAAAGGGGTTTCTTTCAGTTACCTGAACTAAAGTTTATTGCATCTGATTAACAAGGATTGGCCTCAGTTATTCTAGATCTTTTGTATTGTGGAATGTAAATATGCCCCCTCATACATACACATACATATATCTATTTCTTTCTCTAGTACGATGCTGTCCGAATAAACCAACTTTATGAACAAGCCAGGTGGGCCATTCTCTTAGAAGAAATTGACTGCACAGAGGAAGAAATGTTGGTCTTTGCAGCACTACAGGTATGGGAACCTCGGTACCTTTCTCTGAAAGGAGACAAAGCAAATTTGTTCTCCTTAAAGTTTCATTGTCTTCATACTGATTGTTTTTCTTTGAGAAAGAGCTGAAAATGAGGGTAGTAAATTTAAATTTAAAATATTCCTCATAACCCATCCACATGCACATCTTATAAGGCATCAGTCTTGCCGTCCTCATCTCTTCTGCACTACAAGGTCAACCAGTGATGGGAAAGAACTGAGTTGGAACATGACTAACCATAAATCTCAAAATAATTTAAATTATATTTCATTTTCCCTA